TTACTTACTTTTAAATGATAAAATCAAACATAGACAAACAATAATTTACAACATCTGGTTAATATTACGGTTTGAATTAAATTAAACATGTGATCTTGTTTCTAAAAAGCATTGCTCACTAAGCATTGATTATAAAAATATCTCATTATATACTATGTGAGCAAACAAAAACATTAACACTCTTACTACTAAAACAGTTCAGAAACATACTTAGCCCTATTATTTATAACTCCTACTATTCATGTACCAAAGGCAAGTGCATATAAAACTTAGTTTTTTATTGTTATTTTTAAATTGAAATATTTGTATATAGCTTAGAATTAGGAAATTTAACGTAATTCAAACAATGTTTATGTCAAGGGTCGGGGTCGGTTAAGTTAAGAGGAACTTGGTTGAAAATTTACATGTAATGACCATGGAACGCTGCTCGTAAAAAGTTATTCATTATTAGAATAGAATGTGAAATCTACAGGAAGTGTCAAAAGTTATACCAGTAGCTACCTCTGGATTAGAAAACATCACAACTAATCTATGGGTAGTAACATAGATAAAACAGTAATTAGTAATATGAAATTATTATTTAAAAATGTGTGTGATGTGTATTTTCTAACATACTGTATGTTTAAAAAAACTAGTTAACCGCCCGTGCTCCGCCACGGGAATATTGTCAGCAATAAAAGAAATAATAATTAACAAATACTGTTTATCTTTTTATTTTATTTAGGGGTTGTTTAATTTTTACATGAAATAGAACTGATAGTTTGCCTGTATAAACTATTTTATGTTAATCAAACCGATATATTATTTTAACCAATTGAATGTTTTATATTAATTCAAGTTTCATTTGAAAAATAAATAGTATACGAACTGGGCAATGCTGATAAACTAATAAGCAGCTATTTATGATATTTAGATAATTTGCTCAAGTATATTCCTATATTCGTCGTTTTTTTCATTACATTTGTTGTATGGAATAAAGATAGTCACTTAGCCTACATGTAAATCACGCATCAGCAGTTAGTCGCATTTCACGAATCTTTGACCCATACTTTGAGTAAAAGCTGTGTTTACGTCGTATATATAAAGTTGGGCATACTTTGTTCAATGTTAGAGGGTATTAACGGTCCAATTTGATGGAAAAGGAGTAGTGGATTTTAAAACTATGTAGACTACCACTACCAGAAAGATGTTGATTCAAGTGAGACTTAGAACTGGCCATTTCAAATGCAGATTTGTATTATATTTTACTCAAATAGTTTTTTGTCTCTTTTGACCCTTAATACATTTTTATAGTCGCTGTTGATAAGATTTTCCATAAACTCAAAATGTTGATAAGGAGTTCATTTTACCTTCCCCTTGTGACAACATAAGGAAAAGATATTTTTGTCCCAGTTAGTCTGTTCTGGTTCTGACTCAAAATTCATAGATTTGCAGTACTGACAAATCCAATCTAACGACCCCAATAAAAAAAATTGGTATATTTTAGAAGGAACTTCCAGAGCACATTTAACACTATCACTGCTCTTTACCTTTTTAGTTCGATGGTTCTCTACATGTTTTTTTTTTCGTTCTGTATGTCTCTTTATGCCCGGTTAATGATTACCTTTTCTTTTTCTTTTTGTACTTTTCACATCCTGGGGTTAATGATAAAGTTTTATAACGCTATAATGACCCTAGTCAACATTGCCATTAAACATCAAGCCAGATTCTTCTTCGCCAGAACCGAAATCGTAAGTCACAGTTTCTCAAGCAACTTCCCTGTGTAGGCCTACTCGAAAAAATATAGTTAGGGTATAGTTCACTGAAAAATTGTAGTTCCAAATATCCCAGCGTACTCGCCATCTCGAGAAGGTAAAATTTGGACGTCGAACACTGATCTTGAGTGAGATTAATCACTTACGATAAAATGTTTGTATATTTACCAATCATTAGCAATTATCTGTACAACTTGCAACCGGATTTCCCTATGATTGTTCTGGTGGCTATAGAGAATAAATTATATTGATCAAAACAATAAGTTTCCGTCCCCTACTATGGGTATTATTTCACATTCCATACTCAAACTTAAACTCAACTCAATTACCACTTTCCTTCAGATCACTTTGCAGGAAAACTAAAACATTTTTGTGTCCCAGTTAGTCTGTTCTGACTCGAAATTCATATATTTGAAGTAGTGACAAATCCAATCTTACGATCCCAATTCAAAAGAGTTGGTATTTTTTTGTAGGGACTTCCAGAGCACATTTAACACCAACACTGCTATTTACCTTTTTAGTTCGATGGTTCTCTACATTTTTTTTCGTTCGGTATGTCTCTTTATGCCCGGTTAATGATTACCTTTTCTTTTTCTTTTTGTACTTTTCACACCCTGGGGTTAATGATAAAGTTGTATAACGCTATAATGACCCGAGTCAACATTGCCATTAAACATCAAGCCACATACTTCTTTGCCAGAACCGAATGGTAAGTCACAGTTTCTCAAGCAACTTGAAAAAAAATTCGCTGATATATTGTAGTTCCACGTATCCCAGCGTACTCGCCATCTCGAGAAGGTAAAGTTTGGTACCACTGAACGTCTAACACCGATCTTGAGTAAGATTCGTCACCTACTATAAAATGTTTGTATGTTTCCCACTCATTAGCAATAATATGTACAACTTGCAAAGCGGATTTCCCCATGATTATTCTGGTGGCCGTAGAGAATAAATTATATTGATCAAAACAATAAGTTTCCGTTCCCTACTATGGGTATTATTTCACATTCCATACTCAAACTTAAACTCAATTACCACTTTCCTTCATATCACTTTGCAGGAAAACTAAAACATTTCAAAAATAAGTTAACAAATACACTTTCCTTGATCAAAATCGTGTGTTTATAAACAGAAACTCCAAGTTTAATAATTGCATACTGAAAGTGAGGTTATAAAAATAATAACAAATGTCTGACAAATATTAAACAGCTGACGAATAATTTATAAACTGTTTATTATATTCTTCAATAACAATTGTATTGACTCGACCTTTAAAGGGCTGTAGGTCGTAGCCCTTAGAAAAAACGTAAATTCTAAGGAAGTTCGGCAAATCTACACACTATCCCCTTTAATTTGAGACATAAATCTTGTAGATTGGTCCAGTAATTACTGAGAAAACAGTGTTACAACTGTGTATTAAATATATAGATACCATATGTTATGCTACACATCTTTTATTTAATATGTAACAGTTTTCATCGGCGACGAGGAAAACCAGTTTTTAATTTTTTTTACATTCTATTTATTACAATTTATGTTTTAAATATGAGTGACCTAAGTAACACTGAAAGTTTGACTGATTTAAAGAAGATTAGAATAGGTAGTAGTGAAGGGTCAGTTGTCTAAGGCTGAAAGATGGCTAGCAAACCTACAAAACATGTCAAAAGAAGTAATCAAAACCAGGATAACAACAATTGAAGAGTATTGGGAAAGATTTAATTCTGTACAACAATTAATAGAAGAGAAAACTGAAGAAGTTGAAATTGAGAAAGAAATAGATTACAGAGTAGAAATGGAGGACAAATATTACAAGGTAATGGATGAGTTACAAAAACGTATGGGACAGCTTGCAGAACTACAAGTGAACATTCAAAATATTGTGCCTAGTACATCAAATTTGTCTTCTCCACAACGTCAATCCACTACTTCCTCAATGATTTTCACACCATATCAGGAAAATGAATCATTCAAGAACTTCATTCGTCGATTTGAGATATTTCTATATCTACATAGCCAAGAATTGGAACCAAAGGATCAAGTGTATACAATGCTACATGCCTTACAGCCACATTTACATCAGAAGCTGTATGATTTGTGCGCTCCTGAAAGTCCTTTGGATAAAACATATGCTGAATTAGTAAGTCTTTTGGCTGATTATGTTGACCCTAAACCTAGTACTTGGGCCTTACAACACAAATTTATGACAAGATCACAAGAATCTGAAGAAACCGTAAAAATATATTCCGTTGAGCTTCAAAAGTTATCTTCAGACTGTGACTTCAACTGTAATAATTGTGGGAAATCAATTGCAAACACATTACTACGCATGCAGTTGATAAGAGGTATTAGCAATTCAGACATAAGAACAAAATTATTACAAGAAAAGACCTATTTTTGTGAAAGCTCGTCCAGTCCCATATGCACTAACTGAAAAAGTAGAACTCAAGTTGAATCGTCTGGAAGAAGCTGGAATAATTTCCAAAACGGACTTAAGTCTGATTGGGGTACTCCAATTGTACCTGTAGTAAAGCCTAATGGTAACATACGAATATGCACTGATTACAAGGTTAAATAAACAAATCAAAGAAGAACATCATCCAATACCTCGGATCGAAGACATTTTTGCTCAAATGAATGGAGGGCAGTTGTTCTGTACTTTGGATTTGCTTATCTCCACTTGGAAATGGATGCTGAGAGTGCAGAAATTCAAACTTTGAGCACTCATAAAGGACAATACACAGTTAACAGACTGATGTTTGGTGTACAAGTTGCTCCAGGGGTTTGGCAAAAGGTAATGGACGGAATCCTTCAATACCTTCAAGGTGTTCAGTGCTTCAGCTTCTTCGACGATATAATAATTCAAGGAACATCATCAAAAGAACTACTAGAAAGACTAAAGCAAGTGTTTGAGCGTTTAAGGAGTCAAAATTTGAAGTTGAACCGTGACATGTGCAAATTTTTTCAAAAGAAAATTAAATACTTAGGACATATTGACGCCACTGGAATCCACAAAAGTAAGGATAAAATCACAGCAATTACAAATGCACGAAGGCCTCAAAACATTCAAGAACTCCAATCTTTCCTAGGGCTTGTTAATTACTACAACCGGTTTGTAAAGAATTTGTCCACTGTTTTAAATCCTTTACATAGACTTCTAAAAAAAGGGCAGTCATTCATATGGGACAGTAAGTGTGAAGAAGGTTTCCAAAACATCAAGAAAAGAATAACAAGTGACACAGTTCTTTGTCACTTTAACCCAGACCTGCCATAGATCCTTGCAACTGACGCTACACCAGTGGGACTTGGAGCAGTGATATCACATCGTTTCCCAGATGGAAGTGAAAAGCCAATAGCTTTTGCTTCAAGATCATTGACCAATGCTGAAAAACATTACAGCCAAATCGATAAAGAAGCCACAGGTATATACTGGGGGTTGAAGAAATTTTTTTCTTATTGCTACGGACGTCATTTTACACTCATCACGGACCATAAACCATTAGTGTCAATCTTCAATCCCAACAAGAGCCTACCGTCAATGTCAGCAACGCGACTATTCAACTGCTCCCATTTTTTATCAGGATTTAACCACACAATTGAATTCAAGAGAACTGGTGACCATGGCAATGCAGATTTCCTCTCAAAATTACCTGTGGAAGATTCAAAATTTACAAGTATTGACCAGTTTGGACATTTTCAAACAAACCAATTGAACACCAGTTCAACGTTGTAATGTAGATTTTCATCTCTTGATGTAACTTTTCCGAAACTCCATTTTCTCTGACCCTTGTAGTAGTTTCTCACTTGAACACGGTCTCCCACCTTAAATATGCGTGTTATACCTTTAGGTTTGTCTTTTGAGTCCTCGATTCTAGAAGGTATCATAACACTGAGGTATGTTCTTAGTTGTCTGTTGAACATGAGATAGTATGCCGAGTTTCCTGTTGAGTTTGGTACTTGACGGAGTTGAATTAACACCTTGTGAATTTTACTGTAAAGTGTTCCTGGTTCATCTAATATCGACTTCAACATCTTCTTCACTGTTTGTACAAAGCGTTCAGCTTGTCCATTAGATGATGGGTGGAATGGAGCAGTTGTTTTGTGTTGAGTTCCACATGACTTAAGAAACTCTTGAAAAGTAAGAGAAGTGAAACTTCTTCCATTGTCTGAAATTAGGAGGCTTGGAAGACCAAAAGTACTAAAAAGTTTCTTCAACTCCTTAATAGTCCAATCGGTAGTTGCTGCTTTTGTAAGTATTACCTCTACCCAATTGGAGAAGGCATCAACAACAATGAAAAATTGTTGTCCATTTGTTGGGCCCATGAAATCTATATGTATTCTCTCCCATGGCTGAGTCGCTGGTTCCCAAGGATGATTGATCTCTTTCGTCAGAGAATTTTGTTTCTCCCGACAAGGCTTGCAAACAGCAATCATGTTTTCGATGTCTTTATCCATTCCTCTCCAAAAGCAGTAACTTCTTGCCAAAGCTTTGGTTTTTACTATACCAATGTGCCCGTAGTGTAGTTCATTGAGGAGTCTTTTCTTGAGAGAATTTGCGATGATTCAGGAACACTTGACAGTAAAATTCACAAGGTGTTAATTCAACTCCGTCAAGTACCAAACTCAACAGCAAACTCGACATACATTCTCATGTTCAACAGACAAGTAAGAACATACCTTAGTGTTATGATACCTTCTAGAATCGAGGACTCAAAAGAAAAACCTAGTAGAGTAACATGCAGACGACATGTAGATCAAATGCTGCGGTAAAGACTTTAAAGGGGGAGAATTGATGTGTCTTTTCTAACATACTTTATGTTTAAAAAAATACCATATGTTATGCTTAATAAGTTAACTTTGTTTTTGTTTACAATCATTGTCATTTAGGATTTATTTCATCAGAATACACCTATTTTTTTACACATCTTTTATTTAATACTAGCTGGCCCGACAGACGTCGTCCTGTCCTAATGTGTTTTAATGTCAAATGCCCGTTCATTTTCAAGATGAGCTCGTTCGCATGGCTTAACACGTTCAGTGCGGCATACCTTCAAACAGGCGCTCGATAATTGCGGCGAGGCCCGGGCGAAGCCCCGCAGCGCAACTGAATCGGTGAACGCAATTGGCATTCAAATATTTCAGTCTGACGAATAAAAAAAGAGCAGCAGTGATTGTGCTGTGTTAGCCCGAGAGTGGACGTAGTTCACTGAAACACCCAAAGGTAGCAGCACTGCCTGGATTCGTAGCCAGTGTCTTTGTAAAGTGGCTTGTAAAGAGAAAATTGCCGGAACCGGGACAAAAGTATTGCTAGACGGGATTTTACGGGAAATTTTAGTACCAACCTACACCAGACTAAAGCTTAAATAATCTAAGCTACAGGCTGGCAACGGTTATAACGTTCCCCGGCAAAGGCTGAGCTCACACTAAACTAAATGTGGAGAGAGTGGCATGACGTCAGCTTTAGCTGATGTCCGCCACCAGTGCTAGTGTCGGACATCATCTATTGATGATGCCCGCACTTAACGTGTTAATCACGTCCTGGTTGAAGTTCGTTCGCTACGCTCACTCACCTTTAGGTTGGAGCTCGTTCGCTGCGCTCACTTGCCTTCAGGTTAGCTCGTTCCCTACGCTAACTCGCCTCCAGGTTGAAGTTCGTTCGCTACGCTCACTCACCTTTTGGTTGGAACTTTGCTGTTGTCATAAAAAAAATAATAGTGCTGCAGCCTGTTGGTAAACCTATTAACTTTTTAATGCTATTGAACATCACAGAATCAAATTGTTTAGTCAAACCAGCTGTTAAGATTCTTTAATTCCATTTAAATATGAGTACTCATAAGGTTAACATGGGAAACTCCAGAGCCACTGGGGCAGAGCCCTTTTGACGGATCAGCACCAAACTTCACACAAACCATCCTTGAATAATGCCTGAAAGTTTCATTATAATCTGTCGAGCGGTTTTGGAGTCCATAAAGGACAAACAAACATACATACATTGGATTTTATATATATAGATGTATCAGTGTGAAAAGGCAAATGGTGTGAACAATATTTCTCTCAAAATGGAAAAAAATATACAATTAATTATCTCCTTGAAAAAAAAGTTTCAATTTTTAAGGTGCGTGTGCCCTACTCTAAACACAATTCAAGTGTTCAAAAATGTTAAAAGGATAAATATAATGTGACTTTATAATTTGTACAAGGGTGTACAAGTGTGAACAAGTATGTACAATAGTGTACAAGTATGTACAATAGTGTACAAGGCTGTACAAGGGTGTACAAGTGTGTACAAGTGTGTACAAGTGTGTACAAGAATGTACAAGGGTGTCCAAGTGTGTACAAGGTTGTACAAGTGTGTGCAAGTATGTACAAGGGTGTACAACTGTGTACAAGGTTGTACACGTGTGTACAAGAGTGTACAAGGGTGTACACGTGTGTACAAGGGTGTACAAGATTGTACAAGGGTGTACAAGTGTGTACAAGCGTGTACAAGTGTGTACAAGTATGTACAAGTGTGTACAAGGGTGTACAAGGGTAAATGTGATAATAATAATAATAATAATAATTTGTAAATGTGACTTTATAATTTTACTATTTTTTACACCAAAATCTTTCAATACAATCATTCACATTAGCGAAATTTTAAATAATTAATTAGGGTTGGATACAGCACCAGATATACAATCTCACTTATTTCATAAAACCAATAATCAATGAACCATCAAATATAAGAATAAATAAACATGTCACATGATTGTAGAGAATATTATATGCCTATTTATAAACCAGCTGTGGAATTGTGAATTAATGTGGTTTGACAGTTCAGCTTATTTACATTTGGGTGGGATAGAAAATTGTAAACTATGTGTGTGTTTTAATGGGAGCCATGGAGACCAATCAATATTTACTTTTAAAATCCTCACCTCAAAACTTTTAAAGCCAAAGGGGCAAAGCCCACGGTCAGTATCAAAGTGTGAATAGTCTTATAATGGTGCTTGTTATGGTAGCTATACTTTTGTAAAAAGCCCAGTCAGTTCAGTAGTTTATGTGCCTATTAGTAATACACATACAGACAGACGCCACTAGATTTTTATATAATAGTATGGATTTAAACAACATTTATTTTAATGAGTACCTAGGTTTGCTGCTACAGGGAAGGGTTTGAGGTGTTTTTTATTAAAATGTTGATAGCTTTGTATGAAATGAACAAAATTACCAAATTTGATTAAAATATATCAATAAACAAGTGAAATACCACAGTTTATTTATTCTCTATAAGAATATCATGGAATTTAATTTAAACACGTTTAATTTTAACACGTTTATACCAAATTTCATCAAAATTGGATCATTTTTGCTCGAGTTATCGTGCTAACGGACACATTATATATATATATTGTGTACATACATTATATATATATATATATATACTAGCTGACCCGGCGAACTTCGTATCGCCTAAGTTATAGGTTTCCCCTAAGACAGACCGATGGAAAGAAAGTACCGTTACGTTTAATTTTCAAGATGATCTCGTTCGCATCGCTCAATCACGTCCTGGTTGAAGTTCGTTCGCTACGCTCACTCACCTTTGGGTTGGAGCTCGTTCGCTACGCTCACTCACCTTTAGGTTGGAGCTCGTTCGCTGCGCTCACTTGCCTTCAGGTTAGCTCGTTAGCTACGCTAACTCGCCTCCAGGTTGAAGTTCGTTCGCTACGCTCACTTACCTTTGGGTTGGAGCTCGTTCGCTACGCTCACTCACCTTTAGGTTGGAGCTCGTTCGCTGCGCTCACTTGCCTTCAGGTTAGCTCGTTCGCTACGCTAACTCGCCTCCAGGTTGATGTTCGTTCGCTACGCTCACTCACCTTTTGGTTGCAAATTAGCTGTTGTCATAAATGTAAAAGAAATAATAGTGCTGCACCCTGTTGGTAATCCTTGTAACTTCAATGCTATTGAACATCATAGAACAGAACCAACTTGTTTAATTGAAACAGCTGTTAAGATTCATTAATTCCATTTCTCATAAGGTTAACATGGGAAACTCCAGAGCCACTGGGGCGGAGCCCTTTTAGGAATTTCGAAACGGGAAATAGTTTACGTCCGATTCGCATACCTACAGAATTTACACACCAAATTTCATAACGATCGGTGAAGTCGTTCCGGAGGAGTTTGCAGACAAACACTGTGACACGAGAATTTTATATATTAGATATATATATACAGGGTTAATGAAAAGTCTGGAAACCCCCTGTAAATTTTTTTGGGGCTCACACTAGAAAAACTAAACTCTGCATACCTTTATGGCAATTTATGAAGTACTTTTTGGGCATAACTGCTACTTAGTGTTCATCCCCAAAATGGGGGATTTTGGGGGAAACTAAAAAATTTCAAATGGTAAGACCCATCAAGTGACCCCTAATTTTGAAGGTCCTGATGAAAGAAAACCAACAACTCAAACTAGGGGTTTCTATCTCAATTCAGTAAAAATGGCAGTATATTGAAATTTTTGGAAGTGAAATTTAACTCAATGGGGCTTAACATTTCATATTTTTGAGTTTCCCCCAAAATCCCCCATTTTGGGGATGTACATGAAGTGGCGGTTATGCCCAAAAAGTACTTCATAACATGCCATAAAGGTGTGCAGAGTTTAGTTTTTCTAGTGTGAGCCATTAAAAAAATGACGGAGTCTCCAGACTCTTTATTAACACTGTATATATACAATAAACCTTCGATAGTTTGACACTTGATAGTTCGAAACTCCCTGTAGTTCAACACGGGCTGAGCTATTTTGTCAAGTGATATTTAATGGTTACTATTGCAATGTAAGCTGACTTGAACATTAATTTTTTGTTTTATTGTTGACTTGAGACTTAACTAATGAACAGTGAAATTGTTAAGCTTTTTAGTATTTAATAAATTTGGGTGATTTCTATGTAAGACTTGTGTTTTTACTTTCCTGTATATTAAACTCCATTTACTCCCTTTAGTTCGACATCCCTTAAGTCTACTAAGTGTTGAACTATCGATGTTCTACTGTATATGAATTTGAACAAATGTTGTTTTTGGCCTCTATGGACCTCAAAACGAAAAAGTAAATAGGTCCCGTCCAAGTATTTACCATGAGTACTATGATAATAGCTTATTCCATATGGGAAATTCGCTAAAACATAACGATTTTAAGCCTAGTCTATGTTCCTATCACATTACACAGTTTCTGACCGTACAGCGAGATAAATGTATTTATAACATCACAATGAACATAAACAGTGCCCAATCACATTGCAAGTTTTTTAATCGAACAGTTGCTCACCAACCAGTGTAAATAGATCAGCTGTTGCAATGTTTATCACTGAAAATCTGACCTGTCAGTTAAACACTGTTTATTCTGTATTGTGATGTTGTAAATACATTCATCTCAACGTACTGTCAGAAACCATGTA